CAATTCTAAATTGCAGATAATGTGTCTGTGTTTAATTTGGGAGCTGTGAAAGAGGTAAAAGCCACATGGCAGAACGTAGATTAATAAAGACAGGTTAATTTGAGTTATAAGAGCTAGTTGGGGGCAAGCTTAAGCTAAAGGCTAAGCTTTCATAATTAATAATAAGTCTCATTATTTGGGAACTGGCAGCCAACAAGAAAGACTAGCTACAGCAAATAGCAAAATAAATTCATGTTTCTAACCACTCCATAACTTAATATTCCCTAAATTTTTCAGGATTTTGAAGTTGTATCAAGACTCAGCAGGAAAGAATGCTGGAGCTGGGCGGTGGTGGCACACGCCTTTAATCTCAGCACTTGGGAGGCAGAGCCAGGTGAATCTCTGTGAGTTCAAGGCCAGCCTGGTCTACAAAGCGAAATCCAGGACAAGAACCAAAACTACACAGAGTTCGAAACCCTGTTTCGAAGAACAAAAAACAAAAAACACCAAAAAAAAAAAAAATTAAAAAGAAACAGAAAGAGAAAAGAATGCTGGGGTTGGTGATTATTTTTATGCCTCTTTTCATATAAGGAATTCTGACCTATTAAGTTGCCTTTTTTCCTCCTTCAAGACAGGGTTTCTCTGTGTAGCCCTGGCTGTCCTAGAACTCGCTTTGTGGACTGGACTAGCCTTGAAAACACAGAGATCCATCTGCCTCTGCCTCCCTAATGCTGGGATTAAAGGGTGTGTGCCACCATGCTTGGCCACCGAAGCTGTCTTTATCTTGGTGTCTAAGGAATTTTGGTCCAGTTATCACTTTCTCTTTTTCCTTTTTCTAACCCACTCCTACTCAGTTGCCAGATGCTCTTATGAAAACATACCTTGCCAAGCATGGTGGCGCATGCCTTTAATCCCAGCATTTAGGAGGCAGAGGCAGGCAGATCTGCCAGCCTGGTCTATGGAGTGAGTTCCAGGACAGTCAGGGCAACACAGAGAAAACCTGACCCCAAAAAACAAACAAACAAACAAACAAAAAAACCACACACAAAAAAAAAAGAAAAAAAATTTGCATTATTGTTAAATGATACAATATTAATATCTAGGTCAATTCTACTAGCTTTCTAACTTTCATCCTGCAATCAGATCCTGAATGACAAAGAGAATGACTAAGGACTAGAGATAGAAAGTCAGAACTACAGCAAAAAGAAGATAAACTTCTAACCATCCAAAAGAGTTCCTTAGACAAATCATAGAACTCACCAGTTAGCCACTGTTTGGATTAAGGGACTGCTTTTCATAAATAAGGGTTATGAAGGAACCGCCCATCTGAATTAATGTCTCTAAGCCAAGCACTTCAATAGACAAAACTAACACTGACTTAATTTAAAAATTAGAAAGAGAATCAAATGATCTGTGGTTTGAAGACTCATCAGCTTGCCAAATGTTAAACTGGTCTCTCTTCTTAGCTAAAGAGTCAGGAGGACTGTACTAGCCATCTAGTGGATTTGCTTAGAAATGCAAATAATTTCTGACAAAAGCCACACCCAGATGTAGTTCCATCCAGATTATTCCTGAATGGAACTCTGTGATGTCAGCTCAGGATTTCTGACTATGCCCTCAGCACAGTGCAGTAGACAGTTCACGCATTCAGGAAGCTGGGAGAAACAGATCAATAGGTACCAATATGGTGTTTTATGTTGCTTTAGAACAGTGGTTCTCAACTTGTGGGTCATGACCCCTTTGGGGGTCAAAGCACCTTTTCACAGGGGTCAAATACCAGATATCCTGCATATCAGATATTTACATTATGATTCAACGAAGTTGATCTTCTTTATCGAATATATTGACTGTGCTTTGATTTGATGGAGTGTTTGGTGATTCATATAAAGTTATCTCCAAAAAGAAAATCAAAATCAGAAGAGTCAATGTAGCTTAGGCTGGGAAGACAAAGATGTTCTAGAACCTGTTGTTCATTTGACAATTATTTGTTCAACAGCTGAAACCCATCAGCCCTAAGGGATGGAAAATCCACTCTGGTATTTTCAGCAACGACCATGAGTCATTTCTCATAGTTTCCTTGGAAATAACTTATAAATCCTTAAGGAGGTCAAGAAAAAAATTACTGGATTAAGCAGAAACACACACAGAGAGACACCCAGTGAGTAGATTAAAGTGTTAACAGGCTGGCTAGAGAGATGGCTCCGTGTGTAAAGCTGCTTGCACCAAGTCTGAGTTGGATCCCCAGAATCCAGACAGTGGAAGAAGAGAACCAACTCCCCAACATTGTCCTCTGACCTCCACGTAAGTAGTGCGCATGTGCACACACACACTAAATAAATAAGTGGAAAAAATGTCTCTAACTTAAAACCATAATGGCCAGAAGGGCACTTGATATGTTTTCAGTGGCATCTACATTACTTCCTCTCATAATTTTGAGTAAAACTTTTCAGCCTAGATGTCCACTAATGAATAAATGGATAAAGAAAATGTGGTGAACCTATAGCGTCATTTTGTTGTTGTTGTTGTTTGTTTTTGTTTTCGAGACAGGGTTTCTTTGTGTTGTTTTGGTGCCTATCCTGGATCTCGCTCTGTAGACCAGGCTGGCCTTGAACTCACAGAGATTCCCCTGGCTCTGCCTCCCAAGTGCTGAGATTAAAGGTGTGCACCACCACCGCCTGGCTCTATAGTGTTATTTTCATTTAGCTGTAAAGAAAAGTGGAACTATAACATTAAAAAAACTGGGTCACTATGTTAAGCAAAATGAGACAGCCAGACTCAGAAAGACAAATTGCACATTTTCTCTTGTGTGCGGAGTCTACGTTTCAGTACACACACACACACACACACACACACACACACACACACACACACACACACACATATACAGAGAGAGAGAGGGAGAGAGAGAGGATATGAAAGGGGACCTGAGAGCAAGAAGTCTATCTAAAGGGAAGGGGGAGGAGGGGACAAGAGAGGGTAATATATATAGCATGAAACAGAAAGGGAACTATCTAGGGGATGGAAGGATCACAGGAGGAGTGAGCAGAAACTCAGTGTGGGGAGCTAACAAGAACAGTTTAATAACATACATGTATGAATGAAACCTATTTCTTTGTATGTTAAAAAATTAATTTGAGGGTGATCAGGCTTTTCTTTACTTTTTTTCTTTTTCTTTTGAGACAGGGTATCTCTGTGTAACAGCCCTGGCTGTCCTGGACATCACTCTCTAGACCAGGTTGGCCTCGAACTCACAGAGATCTGCCTGCCTCTGCCTCCTGAGTGCTGGGATAAAAGGCGTGCACCACCATTGTAAAGCAGGCCTGAGAAGAATCCTTAAAGGAAGGGTCTCAACCAATTGAAAGTAAAAAATATTAACTATTATTAGCAGTTCTTTAACGTCTTATCAGCCCTTTCAGGAACCAACCCAGAGACAGCACTCATAGTACATTCTGCTCCTGAGGACACCCACAGAACCTGGGGCCCCTCACTGTTCCCTCCAAGTCAAGACCCCTTGCAAATGGGTAAAGGACTGAGAATCTGCCTTTATAGGCTAAACGATGCATATTTTACTCAAGGAAACAAGAAAATAAAGTGCTTGTTAAGATTCTCAAGAAACAGCTAATGCATGCATTACATCTGAGATGTACTCAACAGTCCATTTGCATGAACTAAACACTGCTATGGGCAGACGGAACAGATAACTTCTTCCATCCAGTTAGTTTTCCTGGTTGATCCTAATAACAGTCCCTGCCTTTGAATAAAGCGGCTCTACTATAGAGATTCTCAACCTGTGGGTGGCAACCTTTGGAGGGGGGTCAAGTGACCCTTTCACAGGGGTCACCTAAGACCATCAGAGGGCATTACGATTCATAACAGTAGCAAAATTACAGCTATAAAGTAGCAACGAAAATAATTTTATGGTTGGGTGCCAACTGCATGAGGAACTATATTAAAGGGTCGCAGCGTTAAGAAGGTTGAGGACCACTGCTCTAACCGAATCAGCCTACTGCTGAGACGTTAAGGTGTTTAAAATGAACACAGATATTCTAGAGTCAATCTAAAAAATGCCCAGCAAAGTCTACTTACAGAGCACATTTGTAAGGCTCAATTTAGCATGCACCAGGAAAACAAAACTTGCCCATTGAAAAGGGTCTGGAAACAAATACTACTTAAAAATTGAAACCGGAAGTCAAACACTCAAGTGTTAATTTGTCTGCTCTCACAGTCCGCGTTGACCTTGACAGGAGCTCAAATTAACCTTATTTCTGGAAACGCTTTTAAAACTCAAGACTTCGTTTAATTTTCAATGACTAGCTGGATGTCTGGAAAAGCGGCGTGCTCACCGGAGCTTAATTGCTACCAAACACTCATTTGGGGAAGACAGACCAGCCGCTCCCCCTCACACTAACCTAGAGATTTTTTCCCTAAATCAGATTCTGTTTCTTAAATTGCTGCTTCATTGTGAAATTTTCTTTTACACTTCAATTATTCACAGCATTTCGGGCTCTAGACTCCCAGCAGGTTGGGTTGTTTCGGGGAGTTCTGGAAAATTACGTTTTCATGGCATTGCACTTTTCATGCATTTCTCTTTTGGCTTTTAGCGAACACTCTAGTTATTCCAATAAGAGAATATGTCTCAGGCTAAATGGCATCTAGAAAGCTCTCTCCTCCCCCACCCCCACCCCCACCCCAGTATGAAGATGTTTTACCAGTTCTCGCCCCTCCCTCCTTGACATCCAGCGCAGCCGACGTGAAGCCCCACGCAAAACCAGTGAGGTGGGCTCTCAGAATTCTGACATCACCAGCAAGGATGCATCCCAAGTCCGAACCAGAAAAGCACGCGCATCCGGGTCCAGGTCACCGCCCGGAGGCCAGGAACCACCGTCCCTGCCTTCCCCAGCAAGAAACTAACCCTAGGGCGGAGAGGGGCGCATGGGGGCGGGGACTGCAGGGCGACAGGAAGCCAGCAGTCATCTCCACGCACCTCCCGGGCCAACGGGCACACGTGCGCGGCCACTCACCAGCAGTCGTGCGTGTCGGGAGCTCGCGTGGGATGGCGACCGCGGCGGCTGCCCCCGCGCGGGCCGCGTGGCTCGGGCATCCGTGTGGCCGCTGCAACCGGGGTGGCGGTAGCTGCTCCGCAAGGCACCGGCGCTTGGTGACGGTGGCACCAGGCTGGGAGGCGCCCGCGGGCTGGTCCGGGCCGTGCCTTCTCTGAGTTCTCTCTGCCAGTGGTCGGACGAGCCCTGCTACCTTCCGTGTCTTGGGCTCGCTCTAGCTGGCCGGACAGCCCCAGCGCCCTTGCAAACCTACGCACCGGCCCGGTGACCTCCGAATCTGTGGCGGCCTTCTCTGTAGCAGCAACACCAGGAAAGAAATTGTCACTGCAATGGTCCCGGCCTCCTCTGCCCTGGCTCCAGGGTACCGCCTTCGCCTCTGCCTCCGCCCCCTCCTCCGTAGCCACAGCCTCCCACGTGCTGCAGAAAAACCTGGCGGGTGGCGGGTCCCTGTGGATGGCTTAGGGCCAGAGTGAAACGGTCGCCTGTGGTTTACCCCCCACCTCACCCCACCCCACCCCACCCCAGACACCCTGCTCGCTCGCTGCCCAAAGTTGGACCACCTGAACCGTCCAGTGAACTATCAGCTTCACCTAGAAAGCAGGGGAACGGCTGGGCGGCTCCAAAACTGCAGAGTACACAAGCCATTTGCTGGTGGGATGGCTCCGGATATAGGGTTACATACAGCTTATGTAGGAATCCCAATTTGAGATTTGTCTGTGACTAAGCACTCACGCCACGAAACACTCTCCCTCTCTCCACCTTCTTGAGATAGGAAAATACAAACGGATAGCTCATTATTACTATAGTTACCACCATATGCAGTGTCTTCAATATGGCCCTCCACCCATGCCAGACACGCAGTACACGCGATCTGACATATTTGCTACAGCCCAGTGTATAAAAGCTGCCTCTTATACTCTTTCCATGAACAGGGCATAGACAAGTAAAATCATTTATCAATGATTTTTTGCTCAGCTTCAAAGTAGAAGATACACTTTAAATCTGAGAGCGTGGGAGGAAGAGGAGGGACTGAAGGAGTGGGGAGAAGCCACTGTGATTTGACATCTGTGCTGGCTGGTTTTTGTGGCAACTTGACACAAGCGAGAGCCATCTGAGAAGAGAGACACTGAATTGAGAAAATGCCTCCATAAGACAGAGTAGAAGGCAGGCCGGCAGGCCTGTAGGACATTTTCTTAATTGCTGATGGATGTGGGAAGGCCCAGCCCACTGTGAGTAGCGCTGCCTCTGGGCAGATGGTCTTGGGCTCTATAGAAGGCCTACTGAGCAAGCCACGAGGAGCAAGCCAGTAAGCAGTACTCCTTCAGGGCCTCTGCATCAGCTCCTGGCCCCGGATTCCTGCGTGTTTGAGTTCCTGCTATGACTTTCTTCAAGAATGGACTGGGCCTTGGCAGTGAAATAAACCCGTTCCTCCCTAAGTTGATTTTGCTCATGGTCATGACCAAGCTGTTTCTCTGAGGGAGCAGATCCTACCAGCTGGCCAACGTTTTAGGAACACTGCTGCCTGCTACTGATGAGACTGGGGGTGTTCTCTTCAGCTTAGGTGGGAACCCCGCTCCAAGTGGGAGAAAAGACCACAGGTGTGGGGGGGGGGGGGACAGGGGACGGGCACACTAGCTGTCTTGGTTGGCTTTTCCTTTGGAAACCAAACTTTCAGCCCTGGGTCTGCCACCTCCTGAGCTGTTTAGATCACCCTTGTCCCCTTCTAAGGCATCTCCACCCTACTGTGGTGTAAAATTAGCCTCAAGTGTCACAGTCTGAAGCCTTGCTTTTCAGGAGACAATGGTGTTGGTTTTTGTTGTTGCTGTTTTGTTCCAAATATCAAAACCAGAAAATTCCCCAAATATTCACATTTTTAAATTCTACTTTTTATGTGCTGTGGGAGGGATCAAACCCAGAGCTTTAAGAGGGCTAAGGATGAGTTCTAGCCTCGAGCAACATCTCTAGCACTCCAAAATTCAGATTTTTGATTTTTTTTTTTTTTAAGTTTGAAGATGTCCTACCTGTTATAGCTGAGTAACATGTTGCTCCTTTAGATTCTTGAGTTTTTCACAGTGCCAGGGCCATCATCACTCCTGTGGATATCTGCACTTCAATGACATTTGAAGATTTCATAGACCTTTGAGTCTCATGTTCTGGATGGGATAATCTTGTCTACTAGACAAAATGCATTCTGGTGATTGTAGTGAAAAAATAAGTCATATTCTATAGTTCCACGTGTGTATTTACAATAGTGACTGATCATGTGACTTACTACCTAACATCCAAAGTCCCACCTGAAAGCAGAGTAGGGTGGTACATGCCTGTCTGTAGTTTAACTAATTGGAGCCTGAGGAGGGGGAACTGACGAGACTTACGAGTTCCCGGTCAGCGTAGCCAACACAGAGGAAAACCTGTCTCAGAACAAAAATAGCATCTGGAATCACGAGATGGCTCGGAGGATAAAGATGTTTGCTGCCGTGATTGAGGACCAAAGTTTGATCCCTCCCACAAGATAGAAGAAAGGACCAGCACCTAGAAACTGTCCTCTCCTGTCCACACACACACACACACACACACACACACACACACACACACACTAAATGAGTAAATAAATAAATAAATGCTGAATTAAATAAATTTGATAAGAGTCCAAATGACTCAATATGTTTTGTCCTAACATCCTCATCCTTAGCAGTCACTATGAGCTGACTGAAATTCAGCTCATCAGAGCCTCCTAGCTAGCTTCGAATCTAGATTTTGTTATTAAAAAAAACTTTAGAAAAAGTTCTATTATCTGTAAAAAGGCTTTTGTGTCTAGGGAGTGTTGCTGGAGTTTTCCTGCCTGGCCCACAGTCAGGACAAATCTCTCTCACCCGCCAGTCCCAAGCCGCTCAAACCCGATCAAGTAAACACAGAGACTTATATTGGTTACAAACTGTATGGCCGTGGCAGGCTTCTTGATAGCTGCTCTTACAGCTTAAATTAATCCATTTCTATTAATCTATACCTTGCCACGTGGCTTGTGGCTTACCGGTACTTTACATCTTCCTTGTCCTGATGGCGGCTGGCAGTGTCTCTCTCCCCAGCTTCCTGTTCTCTCAATTTTCCTCTCTGTTAGTCCAGCCTATACTTCCTGCCTGGCCACTGCCAATCAGTGATTTATTCATTGACCAATCAGCAACACATTTGACATACAGACCATCCCACAGCACCTCCCCTTTTCTTTTCTTAAAAAGGAAGGTTTTAACCTTTACACATCTCCAAAGTCAGCTTGGTATATTTGGGAATTTGGGTGTAGCTTCTCTTACTACTTCCTGCTGGAGGGGGGCGCTGTATCTTCTGGGGAAACAAAGAAAATTTTAGGATCATGGAGTAGTCCGTGAGGCTGTATCATCTGAGCCAGTTGTCTTGAAACGGTTCTGGATGTTGGATCATCTGGGCCATGGTGTCATCAGAGACCTTTCAGGGGGTCTTGGCTGGTCAAACCTGATGTATCTTACTCTGGAACAAATCCATAGCCTCTTGCTTTCTGTGGAAACAAAAGAGACTCTTTTCCAAAGCAACATATCCTTACATCCAAATTTTGAAGTCAAAGTATCTTTAAAATATACATACTGGTTTAACTCAGCTTCCTTTATAATCAAATATCTCTCTGTAGTTAAGAATCCCAAAGACAACACAATCCAGACTCTCTGTGTAATAGTCATCTCTACGTGGCTTATTTTTTATATTAATTTTACTGTCTCTTTAAAGACTATTTTTTTTAAAACCATGTATTTGTTTCTATACTGTATATATCACCTTTTTTTGTCTCTTTCAAGCCTACGTATATTTTACACACATTTTAAACTATTACATCTGAATCTGTCTTATTGTGAATCTATTGCCTTGAACTGCAGCAGCTGTGGCTGCTGGCTCCGCCCACCTCAGCTTCCCAACATGGCGGCGGCGGTATGCTTACCGCCAGCTCTGGGAGCTATCGTGGGTCTATGCTTTTATCCAAGCAGTGTGTAGCCCAGAAACCTCTTTTTTTTGTTTTGTACTAGCAAAGGCTAAATCCACCAAGCAGCTTAATGTGCCACTTGCAGAGGCCTCATTCCCACCATACCGTAGGTTGAGCGCACACGCTAGGAACCCGCACACCAGGAACCCGCCAGTAGCTCAAACCAGCAGCTGCCGCTCATTTGAGAGAGACAATTAGGAAGCTGTTTTTAGCTCCGTTTTAGAATCTTTTTTCTCAGTTTTTAGGTGGAAACTCTTGCCACCACGTTGGACGCCATTTGTTGCTGGAGTTTTCCTGCCTGGCCCACAGTCAGGAACTCCAGGGTTACAATGGTACTGTTCTACAGAGGTTGTATGGGCTGCAGTTGTCTACAGATGTCTGAGCGGGCTGTTGGAGTAGTAAAGCCTATTCTGATTTCAACTGGCCAGCTTCCAGGCATGTTTGATATGCAACTTGATGGCCTTCCTGCACATTTCCAATTAAGCTAGGTGGAAATAGTTTCAGTTTGCCACACAAATTTGTGGGTGACTTAAGCACTTTATAAAGAGATACTTACTACAACAGTCTAGAATTTTTATCTTAGATTTCAAATTTTAATCCTTAGTATAGTTTTCCTTTCATTTTAAAAGATACAATTTCAAGATTACCCCAAAATCTACAAATCTAGGGAAAAATTAAGGGAAAAGGGGGAGAGAGAGAGAGAGAGAGAGAGAGAGAGAGAGAGAGAGAGAGAGAGAGAGAGAGATCTATAATCCTAGCTATTCAGGAAGCTGAGAGTGGATGATCTCTAGCTAAAGGCTAGTCTGGGCTACAGAGTAAGTTCAAATCCAGTTTGAGCAACTTCATGAGATTCTTTCTCTGGGCGGTGGTGGCGCACGCCTTTTTCCCAACACTTGGGAGGCAGAGCCAGGCAGATCTCTGTGAGTTGGAGGCCAGCTTGGTCTACAGAGCAAGATCCAGAACAGGCACCAAAACAACACAGAGAAACCTTGTCTTGAAAAAACAAACAAACAAACAAACAAATAAACAAACAAACAAAGGACTGGGGGGATGTAGCTTGGTGTTAAAGCCACTGTTTAATATGCACGGGGTGCTAGATTCAGCCTTAAAAACCCATATCAGCAGAGTTGCTTATTTACAGACAGCCATTTTGTCTATTTGTCTATTTCTGTATTGCTGACTAGAGTACAATTAAAGGGGTTCCCTCATCTTGTGGTATCATTTAGTGCAATTGATGGGAAATGAATTTTTCTGTATGTTAACAAAAACTATAAAATGTACTTGCTCCTTTCCCTTGTAATTCCATTTCTAAGAAGGAATGTATC